GGTTTTGGGTTATATCGCAAAAGTTTTGAGTTATAACACAAAGGTTTTGGGTTATATCGCAAAAGTTTTGGGTTATAACGCAAAGGTTTTGGGGTATATCGGAAAAGTTTTGGGTTATAACGCAAAACATTACTTTTTTTTTTTTTTTTCCTTCTGCCGTTTTTTTTCTGCTCCCTTGTCACCTTAGGGGCTCCGTATCATAGCTTCCAGAGCTCTGCTTTTTAATTTTTTTTAATTTCCCTTTGAGATATATATAGCGCCATTTTTACACCTCGGGTAGCAAAAAAAATCAGTGTTTCCTTGTGGAGCTCTATTTTTTTCTCACCACATATGCTTACACACTGGTGCAGAGAGAAACACATTCATGCAGAATCGCTTTCCCTTTTATTAAGTACATAATACAGAACTCATGCGCACATACATTTGGAATCATTTAATTAAACACTCAAGGTATCACTGTAGAACTGCCAAGAGAAAAATGCAGAAATGACAAAAAGTTATTCCCTGGATATCTGAAATGCCACAGCTGTGCGTGACAATTGCGGGTTAGCAAAGCGCTTGCAATGCCCAAGTAATGAAGAAGTCAGTGAAATTTAAGACAAGAATATGTTACCTTCTTCCCGTTGACATAGAAAAGCAGAGTTTCTGGGTTTCGCTTATCAGCCATTTTCTGTTCGCCAGCAGAAACTTCGCAAAAAATTCTCTTACGCCCACTTGGCTGACCTAATCGGAACCGTTACACTTCCACTTCCAGATGGTCAAATGCTGTACGTAATTACCCTAAACGTTCATTTTTCACAAAATGAAAAGAAAAAGGTAAGAAACAGCGACTTCGTACGATTAGAAGTCGCTCTCACAACTGTGTACTTCGATCTCCTGACCCCCCTGGCAGAACAATAGTAAATGTTAACTGTGGCGTATACGCGCGTGTTCTTATACGGTTCTGCTTTGTTTTACCAATTAAAAAAATAACTTTCGTGTTTTTCTACATATTTCACAGTGCTATTATTTTTGATTATCATGCTAACAACAGTAGCAGTTTATTTCGATCGTGCCAGTTCTCCCTGGGCAGAGTTACAGATTTTAATGTAGAAAAATGAGTGCCTCTAGTATTTCCTGTTCTGGACAGACGATGGCAGCACATTCAATAAAACCGCCGTAGCGCCACGATACGGAAATGGTGTCTCATAGTTAACTTTTAAAATGCGTCAAGTGAGCATTTCATTGTGTCATTGGGACCAAGTACCATATATCTTAACTCCAGCTTGCATGACAGCGTGGCGGTTTACATTACATAAGCAGTCTTAAATAATTTATGTCATTTCTTAAACCACAAACACAGTTTAAAACTCTTACACATACAAATATTATTCAAAACAAGTTTAACGTCATCCAACATGTATCTAAAGTGCTATTAATATTTAAAATACTATACAATAACGCATGAAAATGATCACCTGTCTTTGTGTTTTTCTTGAGTAAGTGGGCAAACAGGTTTTTAAAATGCTTTTTTGTGTGAGTCCACAAAGCAAACACGGTAATATAGTTATGAATGTGAGAAAGTACACTACATTTTTGAAAAAGAAGCCTATGTAAAAGTTTTTAAAAAGTAATTTAAAACTATATGGATGGAAAAAAGTCACAGATTTGATCCCTTGTGCTTGATTGTGGGAGTGTGACTTAGATTGCTGTACACCATGAAGATGAAGTCTCCTGCATTCTCACCTTCATATCTGTCCCTGTCTCCTTACCTATAATGACCCCTTGCCCTACCCTTTCATAGCCTGCTCACCCCTCTTTGTGATCAAGTGTTAGCTGTTTGCTCAGGTTGAGACATGTTTGCATTTTGCTTGCGTCAGCATGGAAGTAGCGGAACGGAATGGCGGACAGAGGTGATGTTGGGTGGGCGGGTTCCTGATCAGGAATTGGTGTGGGGGTAAGAGGAAGACAGCACCACGACATACAAGTGACATCACTCACTTAGTTTTGCTGTCCAAGTTAGTGGCTGATATTCTGGTGCGTAGAATATCACGTCCCCCCCTCGGCAAGTCTATCCCTCCCCCTAAACCTGCATAATGTAGCAATAACAAAAGATTTCCTCAGGACACTCAGTGAACACAAGGGCCAAGTCGCCATTGGAAGGTGTCCCTATTTACATCTATTTTATTTAGCATTCCTCTCTTGGTCTGCGCTGGTTGGTGTTAAGCTGTTTTTACTCTCAGGATGGTCACAATAACACAATTGCTCTATACTTATTTCTCGACCCTACTGCCTTTGCTCTCTGATACCCTCGGTTCCCCGCACACACATTATTATAACACCATAACACCACAGGGAACTGCTTAGCTGCTGTTACACACATGTGATTATGTGATTGCCACAAAGAGGTTTGTTTGCTGCTGATAACAGACCACTGGGGATAACACACACACAAGCACACAGACAAACACGCACACGCACATCGACATTTGTGCTTCAACCCTGACACTCTTAACAGTGAAATCCATGGTAATAATGGTGTAGAAGAAGAATTTTTACAGGAATCATAAATTTCTCCCGCCTCTGTCACCGACGTAGGTGTGTATGCATGCAGTAAACTGTGATTCTCCCAGGAGCTTGGCAGCACAGGCCAGGTCCTGACGTCAGGACCAGGAATCATCTGGCACAGCTGTCTGCACGGCCTCCCTCCCGGTAAAGCACCCCTGAGCCGGCAGATGGGTGTCAGGGTCTCATCTCCAACTTTACTAATAATTTGGGCCGTTAAGCTACAGGTGAGGGTGTCAAGGCCTGCCATAGGGCTCCAGGAAACCCCATCTCACTCACATTGTTGGAGTGCTCGTGACCTGCCATGACTTGTCGACACAGAGCAAACATCTGGCACACTAAAACACCCCCTCCTTTGACAGCATAGTGTGTGTGGCGTGTACAGCATGTGCAAGCGGCAGTCGGAGTCTTGCTGGTGTCACAAAGGAGTGCAGGACATTGTGCCTGAGTGCAGAATGATCTGGAAGAGCTTGGATGAATGAAACCATTCCCCAAGCTCACCACAGTGCAAGCACTGTTCTCTGAACTGAATCAGGAAAATGTTCTGGGCTGTCTGCAAATGGGCTGAAAATGTTCTGGGCTGTTTGTGATCGGAAGTGTTATTTCAATGTTGGGCCTCTGAGCAAGGTTCTTAACCTCCATTTTCTCCAGAGACTAAGTATGCGTGGTTTGATATTGATATTTTGACCCGAATGTTTCATTTTGGAAATTGATTCTAACATTAAAATGTTGTTTTTTTTAACCTAGCTTCCTGAAAACCTGATGTCTGCTACAACTGTAAGCTCATTTAAATCAAGGGTTAAAACATTACTATTTGCTGCAGTTTTTCAATTAAATCAGTTTAGTCAATATAACTTTTCAGTTAACTATTTGCATGGCTTTTAGTTATTTAAATTAAATTTAATTATTATTATTATTATTTGTCTTTAAAATGTGATTTTAATGTCTTTAAATGTGTCCTTTTGCCTTTGTAAAGCACCTTGAATTGCCTTGTGTCTAAATTGTGCTATACAAATTAACTTGCCTTGTCTTGGTAATTAAAATGCCTATATCACAGAGAGCAGGACATGAATTACTACAAGGTGGTAATCCCCCCCCCCCCCTTTTTTAGCATCTCGGTTGGGAAGGACTGAATATGAGTATTGGTATTGGCTATACCAGTCTTGGTTTTGAAACGACTTGGATCGAAATGAAAATCAGTGGTATCGCCGATCCCTACCTGGGACTAGATGACCCTGTGGATAAAGGCATCTGCTAAATAACTAACATACAATTTACAACTAACATACAATTTGACAGTGACCATGACTGCACTCCATCAAGAATCACAGCAGGGTTACACCATAGACCCCGCCGATGGGTCTGGAGGACTGACCCGGTGTGAGTCCATAAGAAGCCCTGACAGTCCATATTCAGCCTTTGTTTGTCTTTGTTTGATTACTGTTTGTCTGGAGGATGCCTGCTTATCTGTAGCTACGCGAGTCAGCACTTTGGAGGGGGAGGTACCTCATAAGGTCTGTGTATCTCTGAGAAGGTATTCAGTTATTTTCTCTTTTGTCTTTTTATTAGTTCCCAAGGACTTATACTGCTAACGGTGCTTTGACTCTGCTAATTATTTTCTATGAGATACTAAAGTTGAATAGTGATTTGGCTAAACAGTTGGTTGGGTTTAATGTGCTCTTTCTGCCTCTACTGCAGGGGTGAAGCTGTTTTTACACAAACCGTCCAGGCAGTTAGGTAGATACTGAACTAGCGGCTCAGCAACTACAGCGGGATCTTGATTTAATTAGTGACTGGGCTGATACCTGGCAGATGAAATTTAACATAGACAAATGTAAGGTACTCCATGTAGGGAGCAGAAATGTAAAGTACAGGTATTTTATGGGACCTACTGAAATAAAGGTGGCTGATTATGAGAAAGACCTTGGTGTGTATGTTGATGCTTCCATGTCTCATTCTCGTCAGTGCGGAGAAGCAATAAAAAAGGCCAATAGGATGTTGGGGTATATCTCCAGGTGTGTGGAGTTTAAGTCAAGGGAGGTAATGCTAAGATTATACAATTCCTTGGTGAGACCTCACCTAGAATATTGTGTGCAGGTTTGATCACCATATCTTAAAAAGGACATTGCGGCCTTAGAAAAGGTGCAGCATAGGGCCACAAGAATGATTCCTGGTCTTAGAGGAATGTCATACGAGGAAAGGTTAGTTTAGCTAAATCTGTTCAGCCACAAGCAAAGGAGACTGAGGGGGGACATGATCCAGGTCTATAAGATTCTAACAGGTTTGGATGCTGTTCAACCGAATAGTTACTTCAGCATTAGTTCAACGAGAACTCGTGGCCATACAAGAACTCGTGGCCATAGGTGGAAATTAGCAGGAGAACATTTCAAACTGGATTTAAGGAAGCACTTCTTTACACAGCGTGTAGTCAGAGTATGGAATAGTCTTCCTGATAACATAGTGCAAGCTGAATCCTTGGGTTCCTTTAAATCAGAGGTAGATAAGATTTTAACAACTCTGAGCTATTAGTTAAGTTCTCCCCAAGCGAGCTCGATGGGCCGAATGGCCTCCTCTCGTTTGTATAGTTCTTATGTTCTTACTCTTGTTTGTGTCTGGGCTGTAGTGACTCATCCACGTTACTGTGTTTAACCCCCTGATAATAAAGTTTATGCCAACCTCGCTATGTGTGTCAGTGCACACTGCCCTCCCTGGTCACACAGCCCGGCCCCAGCACCTTCCTCAGAACCATATCTACCTGCACATTCTCCCATAAGCGTGCTGGCTCTTGAAACAGGCCTGCTTCCTATTTGGGGTCCAGTGACAGTTTACTATTTATCTAACGTGTCACAGAATCCCAAAACTATAGCAAGAAAGTGCTGAAATATCATTTTCACAAGGGCAGACACCCAGAGCATTGGTGGAGGTTAGCAGTTAGCATTAGCTTGGTCAGGAGGAGGATCAGCAAATGAAGGTTTGCAAACTCTCTTCCCCAAGAGTCCTCAGGCATTGGGTCTCAGTAATTACGTTTCTGTATTAAACATTACCTGCCCTCGTTGTGAACAGGCTGGCAGAGAAATTAAAATTGCAGGCCTTAATCTCCACCATCACCAATGAGTCCTGACAGGAATGATTTATACAAAGGGGAAATAATCACTGTAAACTGCTCTATGAATTAAACATGCTAGCTTGTCTCTTTATTCAACGTTATTGTCCAGGTGCCCTGCTGGGACAATAAAGACTAATGTAAAGTAAGCCAAAAATACGCTACATTAATGAAAATTAGTGAAAATGGCGGCGCACAGTAGTGCAGCGGCTACTCGCGCTCCCGGGAAACCCGCCTTTGTTAATACTTTAAATACTTCTTTTAATACTTCTTTCACCCGCTTCAAGCGTATAACATATAATCGAACCGAATTTTTGAGCTTAAAGGAAGGTTTGGTTACAAGAATAACAACAATTGACCATAAACTCAGATCTACGTTAAGCGAACTGCAGCTCCTACGGACATCGGCATGGCGGAACAGAGCGCAGCGGGCAAAGGGCAAGAGGAAGTGCTGTGAGCGGAGGCAGAAGAGAGGGAAGCACGGTGGTGTGCTAGCGAGGCTAAAGGCTAACGGCTGCAGACCGCCGATTCCGTCCCTGTTCCTGGCCAACGTTCGCTCTCTGGACAACAAGCTGGACCTTTTGCGGCTGAGGATGAGTGTTTCAATGGAGATGAGGAACTGCTCTATACTATTCTCACAGAAACATGGCTACAGGACAACATGCCAGACTCAGGCTTTCAGATCTCCGGCTGGCAGGTCTTCCACGCGGACCGCAACTCGCTAACGGGGAAAGCCCGAGGGGGGGGGGCTTATGCGTCTATATAAACAAAGGTTGGTGCACGAACTGTGTGATGATAAACAGCCACTGCTCTGAGGATTTAGAATTTATGACTGTGAAATGTCGTCCTTTATATTTACCTCGTCAGTTCTTGGTGATGTTTGTCATAGCCATTTACATAGCACCGGATGCTAATGTTACCAACGCACTGAAGGAGCTACACAACAACATTAGCTCACTTCAGAACAAGCACCCGGAAGCGTTCTACGTGGTGGCTGGGGATTTTAACCACGTAAACCTGACAGACATTTTGCCTAGGTTTTATCAGCACGTCAACATACCAACACGGGGTAATAACACGCTGGACCGTGTTTATACCAGCATACGAGACGCATACAGAGCAGTACCCTGCCCCCACCTGGGCCTCTCCGACCACATCTGCATTATGCTGGCCCCTGTCTACCACCCCCCACTACGACGCTCCAAACCCACAAAGAAAACCATCACTGTGTGGCCCAAGGATGGAGACTCTATACTGTAGGACTGTTTCAAATGTACAGACTGGCAGGTCTTCAGGGATGCTGCTGTGCATGAGGGGGAGTTGGATCTGGAAGAGTACACATCTGCTGTCCTCGGCTACATTAGGAAGTGTGTGGAGGATATTACTACCACTAAGACCGTGATGTGCTACCCTAATCAGAAACCCTGGCTATATGCAGGAGTCCGTTCACTGCTGAGGGCCAGGGATGCCGCCTTCAGGTCCGGAGATACACATAGACTCAGGAGAGCCAGGAGAGAGCTGATTGCAGGCGTTAAGAGAGCCAAAGCCACATACGCACAGAAGATTCAGGGACATTTTTCTTCCCAGGATCCACGCAGTATGTGGAAGGGTATTAAGTGCATTACGGACTACAACACCGGAGACACACAATACCCTAGGGACCCTTCTCTGCCTGAGGTTCTCAACAGGTTCTATGCCTGCTTTGAGGACTCTAACGCCCAGCACTAGATTCTCCCACCATCAGGAGAAGAAACACTCTGCGTGTCCGTAGCGGAAGTAAGGAGGACCCTCAAGAGGATTAACCCCCACAAAGCTTCTGGCCTGGACAACATCTCTGGGCGGGTGTTGAGGAACTGCGCTGACCAGCTCTCTGAGGTCCTAGCAGACATCTTTAACTTCTCTCTCATCCAGGCAGTTGTCCCCACCTGCATGAAGACTGTTACCATCATCCTGGTCCCTAAGAGCTCTGCAGTAACGGCCAGTAGCCCTCACTCCGATTGTCACAAAATGTTTTGAAAGACCGATCATGGCCCACGTCAAAGCCACTATCAATATCACCGAGGACTCACACCAGTACGCTTACCGGAAGAACCGATCCACAGAGGACGCCATTTCTTCTGTGGTTCATAATACTCACCCACCTGGAGCGGAAGGATTCCTATGTCCGTTTGCTCTTCGTGGACTTCACATCCGCTTTCAACACTATAATCCCTCAGACCTTAGTTAACAAACTATTCACTCTTGGACTGAGCTCCTCTCTCTGTAATTGGGTTCTGGACTTTTTGACCAACAGGCCACAGTCTGTGAGGATCCACAATATCTCCTCATCTCTCATAGTCCTCAGTATTGGCTCCCCTCAGGGCTGTGTGCTAAGCCCCCTCCTGTTTACGCTGCTTACATATGACTGCTCAACTAACCTTCCAGGCTGTCATATTGTAAAGTTTGCGGACGACACAGCTGTGGTTGGATGCATCACAAACAATGATGAATCTGGCTACAAGCAGGAGGTGGAACACTTGGAGGACTGGTGCAGGAAAAACAATCTCTGCATAAATGGGAAGAAGACGAATGAGATGATCGTGGACTTCAGGAAGGGCAGATACTCACACCCCCCCCTGCATGTCGGAGGATCTGCAGTGGAAGTAGTACCCAGCTACAGGTACCTGGGCATGCACCTAAGTAACAACCTCTCCTGGAACAACAATACTTCCAGTTTGGTCAGGAAGGCACATCAGAGGCACTACTTCCTGAGGCGGCTGAGGCGTGCAGGTCTGGGGAGCTCAGTCCTCATCTCCTTTTATAGATGCGCGGTGGAGAGTGTTCTGTGCTCCGGCATCAACGTGTGGTACAGAAACTGCACTACAGCAGAGAGGAAAGCTCTGCAGAGGGTGGTGAAGGCTGCACAGAGAATCATCGGAGTCAGCCTCCCCACCATCACGGACATATACACCTCCAGATGCAGGAAGAGAGCCACCTGCATCATGAAGGACTCCGATGATCATTTATTCAACCATGTCTGTGTGAAATTTCGTGACAATTCTTAGTGTCGAAGTCATTGACTCACCCAGCACACACACTTTTCGTCCCACTCCCCTCAGGCAGGAGGTTGAGGAGCATTAAGTGTAAAACCACCAGACTGAGAAACAACTTCATTCCGGTAGCTGTAAGACTCTTGAACAGATGATGGACAAGCACTTTACTTTATGGACGAATCACTACTGCAACTTTACTGATACCGTTACTTTACAAGTGCTAGCTATCCAGCCTTCATTTGCTGCTATAATTATAATTATATTATATCTCTGCCATACTGGTATTAAGTTGGTGCACTTTTTTAATTACTTAAGTTGTACTTCCTTTACTTTTTCTTATTTACTTTATTATTCATTATTGTTTATTATGTTCTTGTTTTATCGGGTTAACCAGGACCGTGCACACACAATTTCGTTCCACCTCATGCAAATGCGATGCAAATGACAATAAACTTCCTTGACCTTGACCTTGAACACAGTCACATACAGTGTTACTAATGAGGTGTTATCCAACAGAATGGTCATGCATGTGGTAATATTGAAATTTGTATATTTATTTTCATGTATAACCTCCACTGCAACATAGTCACTGTGCTTGTTCCATTTAATTCAATCTGCTTTGTGTCTTGTACTTTAAATGCCTGTAATAAAAGATGAAAAGAAACATATAGATATCCACACCCAATAGTGTTGTCTAA